AACAAGGAAATGTTGGAGCAGGAGGGATCTGTAAGCTCACCTACTGCCCCCCAGGTGCCATGGAAAAGGCTGCCCCTGTGGGAAGCCTGGTCAACTTCTGTAGATGGAATGGAAGGGGGCACCATCTTGCCCTTTACCTTCAGCAACAAAACATTTTGGGCTGGCCCTGGCCACTCCACATGTGTAAAATGATGAGGGCACCATATTTAGAAATGTAATCACACTGAGCTTTCAGAGATTCTGGAACCTGAGGTGAGTTCTAAACACAATGTACAAAGCATACCTTATCGATGGTGCTTTCACCGAATCTCACCATGGGTGAGATGTTCCAGCATGCAAGGAGGTTTGGTTTCCTTTCAAAGAAAGTTATTGTCCAATAGACTGGCAAGGCATTGCTTTAGGACGTAGAAACAGAGAAACAGAGCAAGTCAGAAGGGGTCTCCAGGGTCATCTAGTCTGACCCCCAGCTCCAGCCAGCTCTGCTCATGACATGCCTCCCATGTGCATGACCAAGCCTATCCTTGCACACCCTCACCAATGGGACTTCAACTACCTCCCATGGAATTTCATACCCTAGGGGTCCTTGTACTTCCTGGCATCCAAATTGATTCTTGGTTGAACCAGGACAACTCATGCTGACTGATAGCACTATTCAAATAAACCCCAAACACTTATGGAGGTGAGTGGCAGGCCAGGGGAATGACCCAATATGCCCAGGGCGATCACAATCCATCTTCATGGTCCACAGAGTGATGATACAGGCCAAGGAGACAAAATACTGGATTATTTTACTTCAGCAGTTGAAGGAGCCATGCTTCTAAATATCCCCTACCTCCATTTCTTTATCCCATTTAACCAACCTTGTTTGGCTGATCCATTCCTTCAAGATAGTTCATATCCTAACACATTATATAAAATTGCAGTCAATTCCACTAAAGTATATTTTTAAATGCACACTAAAAGTAAAAACTAGTACACTGATAAATCAAGGAAAACATTTAGTGAAGTCTTCTCTTTGATGTTCTAATCTTACTATATGAGGGAAGTTTTTATGTATGCTTGCATATTTGTACAATATTTATACAAATCTAATGCAAATGTTTACTACTTCATTCTGCCACCATGATCAAATGCACAGAAGGGGGAAATTGGGGAGGGGTGCAAAATTATGCCAAGTTTGAAAGCTTTCTAGGATTGCATGTGCCCAGCACTGGAAGAGTGAAGAGCCACCTACTGACAAATTGATTTTAAAAAAGATCTTGGACTGTGCAGAAATGGACAGACTGACTTTGTCACTGAAGGAGAAAGAAGATGCAGACTTCTATCAAACTTGGGACTCTTTTTATTATTGGCTAGAGAAACAGGACTTTGCATAGACTTAAACATGTTTATAGTTTAACATAAAAAGAAAAAAATGTGGGGGGCTGACCCAGTAGGTCTGATGTTTCTGATGACTGATGTTGTTTTTAGTTTTTTCTTTGTGTTAGGTTTATTTAGGAAAAAACATATTCAAAAAAAAAGTCCTTCAGTAGCACTAAATGACATAGCAAACTATTAGATACATTCATGCTTAGAGTAGACCCATTGAAATCAGTGAGACTTATTTTAATGATGGCTGGTATCCAGAGGGGTGCCGATACCCCTGCTGATTCTTGGGCAGCTCTCCACACCTTGCACAATGGCAATGCTTCAGGTACCCCGAAACAAGTGGGAAAACTCTTCTATGGGGGAAAATAAAAGCTTACATAATGAATTCCCACCAACTTTCCTCTTCTAGAAACAAGCATTTCTGCTTATATGAGGGCTTCCTCTAGGACATGGGTCCTCAGGATCCGGCCCACCACAGGTGGGGAGGCGGTGGCTTGCTCACTCCAAGATGGTTTTGGACTCGCTGGGAGATCTCTGAGCGAGCGAGCAAGCGAGCGAATTGCTGCCTCGTGCACCCGATGCTGCCTCGTGCGTGCCAGACACCACCTCACCGGCCCGTGCCCCTGGGCACCCCTGCCTCACCGGCCCGTGCTGGTCACCACTGCCTTTCAACAGGCCCCTGTTGAAAAAGTTTGAGGACCCCTGCTCTAGGAAGTGCAAAATCTCTCACACAGAAGTAGTGGAGGCAGTGGGTGCAACAGAATCCGCTGGCCCCACTCTTTAGAGGATTGTGCAAGGCAGAAGGGAAAGACCAGGGCCAGATACGGCCCGCTGACCATTGCGAGTGGCCCACTGGCTTTCACAGGGCTACTCTCAGTGACTGATGGCAGGGACGCTCATCAGCCTCTGAACTCAGAAGCATCCAGTGCAAGCTGCTTGGCACAGTGGTGGCCCTGTCCACCATGCCCAATGCCCTGCGTTTTATCAGGACAACTGGGGAGGGAAAGGGGCTGGGGTGCCAAGCTTTGCACCTCTGCAGACCCAGCTTCCTCTTTAATCCAGGGCTCCTCAATCTGCTTCTCTGTCATTGGGCTGTTTTCATACAGGGGAAGGTTGCTTCCTTAGGGGTTTTCCTTTCCTTTCCTTTGCCCTCTTTTCACCCTCCCTCCCTTCCTCCCATTTCAGTAGAGAATTTTTCTACTTCTGCAAATCTTGGGGTTTCCCTCAACATAGAAATACTTCCTTTTTATTTCTTCCCAACTCCATTGCGGCTACTAATAATATCTCAGCATCTGTGCTTGCTGTTGCTGCTGTTGTCATATTTGAATAGCTTAGTGAAAACTTACGGGGGGCGGAGGGGGGAGCATACAGTGTGTCCAGGCAACCCTCAGAAAAAAATGCCTGCGTTGAAAGTTTTTAGTTTGTCCCTCCTCTTTTCTGGAGCAGTACAGAACTGCAGTTCTCAGCCTTCCATTTTTTTCACAGACAACTGAAAATTATTCTGCATGTTGGCAGACCACTTCATAAACCATTTTGTTCTGTAAATCAAAGCATATGCATGGCTCATATCTTAATGACAGAAGTTAATCAAATGCAGGGACAGACACTGGCATTCTTGATATTTCCCCAGCCTTTCAACAGATCAGTTGAATTGCGCTCACAGCCCCCAGTGGTCTGTGGAGCAGAGGTTAAGAATCTCTGGTATAGTGTTGTAGGTACAGCTTACTGGGGACCAAACCAAAAGAGGGAAATTTTGGGTTAAAGATCAAGGCATTCTCTCAACACGACACAACACGGGCTGGCGGTGGGCTCTACTTTTTAAACCCTCCCCAGAATTCCTCCCACCCCCGAAAAAGGTGGAGAGAATACCAGCTTCAAGGACTGGAGCATCTTTAACACAACACGGAAAGTCCTGCCAGATCACAGCATTGGTGCACCCAGCCTAGTATTCTGTTTCCACAGTGACAAATCAAACACTTTTGGGATGCCTATGTGGAGGGCATGAAAGTCGTAGCCTTCACCTGCTGTTTCTTCCTAGGTGTTCAGCGATATGTTGCCTCCAAACCTAGCCATTGTGATTAGTAGATATGAACAGATTTCTCCTCTATGACGTGGTCTAATCCCTCTTTAAAACCTTGTAGGAAAACGTCCCTAAAAATATAAGGCCCACGCTGAACCAGGCCAAGGTCCTATCTAGCTTTCTGTTCCCACAGCAGCTATTCAGGTGCCTATGAGAAGCCCACATCCAGGACAAGAGAGCAATGGCACCTCCCACTCATGTTTCCAGGTGCAGCACCTCTAATACCGAAGGTAACATATAGCCACCACGACTATTATTATTACATTGCATTGATATCCTGCCATTTTTCTTCTTGTGGAGAACCCCTTCTCGCAAGCGGCTCACAAAGCTTCATTTTAGCCTTGAAACCCTGCAACAGCATATCTAAGGTGATTTCAATCATTTTTGTAGCTGTTTCTGTCTTGGCACAGTTACAGCAAGAATCATGTTGTTTTCATGTGGGCAGGAGGTGATGTAACGTGGAGATCTGCTTTGCAAATTGCTCCTGCTTTTGAAAAACAACACGTCCACTGCAGAATTGCACTGTTAATTACACCAGCCTTCCACATTCCCTAGTATATGGGTCCTCAAGCCCATGAGCCGGATCCGGCCCGCCATGCCCATTTATCCAGCCCGCCATAGAGGTTTTGGACTCACCCTGCGTGCACGCACGCATGTGGCGAGGCAGCGGCTTGCTCGCGCAGAGATTGTTTTGGACTCGCTCGGAGAAAAGGATCTCTGCCTGCACCCGCCCTCACCTGGCAGTGTGTGCCCCCCCCCCCGCCCGCACCGCCTTTGTGACCCGTGCCCATCGCCGGCACCTTTCAACTGGCCCCGTTGAAAAATTTGAGGACCCCTGCCCTAGTACAACAAACCAATCAGAATCCTTTACTGAAACCGAGCTCAGATGCTAGGGAACTACATCTTCTCCAGGCAACGGCTATCGCCAGTTATTAGAGGTCAGAAGATGGAATGGCTGCTAATGTGGGTCAACATTTTTAGCATCAGCCTGCCTCAGCAGAGTACTTCCATTCTTTCCCACTGGAGCAGATACTACCATCATCATCATCAGATTGATAAATGGACTACCAATATTATAAATCAATAACCTAACATTCAGACATCAAGAGTCACAAGAGATTGACCACACACACATTCCTGAATTTGTCCGCATCTTTGCATGAATTTTAACTGTAAGTGCTCTAGGAGACAGCTTGACCCATGATGGGCAGGAGGGATATAAAAAGTATTAAGATTTAGTATCCCAACAGGTACAGGAAAGACAGGTAGAATACATCATTTATCTTCTCAGAAGGCCATTGACATTCCTAATCCAACAGGAATCCTACTAATCAGTGAATTCACTGATTATGAGTAATGAGATTATAAAGCTCACAAGTGACAGACTTTGTATGCTCTGCTTCCAAATGCTTTTAATTTAAAAAAAGGAAGCACTTGGGTCATGCAGGTCAACTTGGGCTCAGACAGTTTCCAAAACTTTTGAAGAATTTGAAAGCAAGTCTAAGGGAGGTCAAGCATACCCATCCCAGTTAAAAGACAAGCAGACGGTTCAGTGATTTAAAACCGTTTAATGTAATTCCAAGACAAAGTGTGATTACATTTCTACACATATACAATATGCATATGTGAGTTTACAAATTCTGATTAATAACTCGTTTCACCTCAGAGACCGAAAAAATGATCAAAAAGAAACTGTGAATAACAAGCTATAACATAGTTCACCACAACGGGACCCCCTTTCTCACCCTACAGTTAGTAATATTACAGTTAAAATAACTATATTCTTCTATAATGCTTTTTTCTGTTAAAATCATCTCATAAATTTACAATGCTATTATTAGTTTTCAAGTCTAATATAAATTCACTCCATTTTTCTACAACGAAAATGATTATTAATTAGAAGCACACAATGTCATGATGAGAAACACAAGCATTATTTTTTTTTTTAGTAGCAAGAACTTGATTGGTTAAGAATTAGTTTTCTTGTAAAACATTCTAAAGCCAAGTAAAATATCCATTCTTATAACATACCTATAATATGAGACTAAGGAGTAGGTTACATATAGTTCTACAACACATCAGTTTCTTTTCTGGTTTTTTTTTTCAAAGACATTACCAGAAGGAAAAAAATAACAAGTAACAAAAGGGAAAAAAGAAAGATAAAAGGGGACAATTCACAGAAAATAAAAGAAAATAAACAATACACAAGAAAATACTGTTGCACACAATAATTTCCACAAAGTTTTAACATGGATTAACACTCAATACAGAACCATACAGTGAAAGAATACAACCAATCAGGGCTTTCATGGGGTTTTTTTAACTGAGATGATATAGTATATAGGAAACAGAACCCTTTGAAATATCAAGCAGGTGAGAGGGTCGGGGTGCTTTTTGTGTTTTAGAAAGTAGTTCAAGATTTTTGCCCTCTCTCTTGCTCTCTTTTTTTCAAAGTTATTGTGTAGTGTATATTTTCCTGTCCATTCAGAGCATATTGGGTTTATGGGCACTAAGCAGATATAGAGTATCATTTTAGTTATGTCAAAAGGACCCAAATATTCCCACATATGTTCTCTAGTGTGTTTTTTAACTACCACAATATAGACTCTCAAATGCCAAGGTACTTCCTTTCTTTCTCCCCTTTCAAATAAAGCTACTGTCGTCCTCTCATATGGAAAAAAAAATGGTGTAAACTTTGCAGATGATAAATTCCAATTTCGTCTGTGTACAATTTTGGCGGAAAAAATGCCTTGTTTTTTTCTCCTTTTACTAAGCTGATGAAGCACAAGGTATGAAGGCCAGGTTCTGTGCCTCAAAAGCTGCACCTTGGGACAGCCAGGGAAAGAGCACTTTGAGAATAAATATCCGAATTTAGCAGACAAAAAGACAGAAGTGTTGCATGTGGCCAACCCATAGGGGAAGCACTGCAGGTTGTGTTTCCCTTTCTGAGGAACCAGGAAGAGTCAAAGGACTATGGATCTGTCGTGTTAAAAACCCCTTACGTGCTTTACAGACTCCAAGACCAGAGTTTTAAAAAAGAAAACCTGTAGCTCCTGAAAATGAATGAGTGAGTATTTCCAAAGCCAGCTGACACAAAAGGAAGAACAAGTGGTTGCTGGGTAGCTGCTGTTAACTGTGCCGAAGGGCTTCTGAAGCCTACCTCTTCAGGCTTTCTTAAGGCCTGCAATCAAAACAAGCTTCCCATTTGGCTTTCAAAAGGATGCAGCTTCATGCCAAGTTATCACTTTGGTAAAGTGAGCTATAGTGAGGATGCTGTGGTTTTCGATGGATTTCCTGCGGGGGCATGGGCAGGGGCCTTCCAAGGCATTCAGTGGAAGACGTCTTTTTAACTGGGGCCTAAAAGCACTGCTTTTCTCCCTCCTCCTTGTAACCCATGAATATGCTGGCACAGAACAAAGCGAGGAACTCTGCTGAGGTGGTGGGTTCCACAATGAAGCCCAGCTGTTCAAATATAATGACCTTTGTGCCAGTTCTCCTGCATGTGTTGATGTATTCATTTCATTTCTTTTATTGTCTAAAAACACTTCTTTGCTCAGCAAAACATTTCCATTTGTATTAATTGGTTAGGTTACTTGACTGAAAGAAAGAAAGAAAGAAAGAAAGAAAGAAAGAAAGAAAGAAAGAAAGAAAACCCCACATATAAACAGATATAGGCAGAACTGAAAGAAAAAGAGGAAACCGAAAGACCATTTACATCCAAACACATAGTTCACTACAATCAATAATAAAGAAACAGCATTCAATATACCATCATTGGCTAACAGGCAAATTAAATTTACAAGGAATTGGTCAAGTTCTTCATATTTAGTTTAGGGGTTCCAAATAGATCTAGAGTGACAAGTATAATGAGAAATATAGGAGAGAGAAACGCATAGCAACAAAATTACAACGCTGCCTGTCATTGTTTTCCAATCCAATCCAAGGATTTGTTGTCTCTGCAAGCAATCATTCAACATTTGAGGACTTTCCCAGGTTTTCCCAACTGTGGACATCCACGTGGAGTGCTAGTGGCCATTCCTGCATTTAAATATTTCCAACTGATCCACACTGAGGCGTGGGACAACACATACCAAGGGCAGTGCATCCCAATTTTCTCCTAAAGGTCATGCATAATGCACTTGATATCCATGATTGCCATTTACGAGATCTTTCTAAGCACATCATCATGATTCTGCGTCATGTGATTATAGAGCCCATAAACACACAATGACGGATTTGTGTGACCTAGCGCTGAGCCACTCAGCTATCCAATCCCACCCCTTGTTCTAAATACCCTTTGTTCTCATTAAACAGGTATTTCTGTTCAGGCTCGGATCTTAATAGTGCAATCCTACACACTTTTACTCAGAAGTAACCCCCACTGTGTTTATTAGGGTTTACACCTTGGTAAATTTGTTTAGGATTGCCACCTAAGTGAAATAGCTAGTTGGGAATTCTTGTGCTTCTGATTCATCCCCAATAGTTTCCATATTTTTCCTTCTTAATTCAAAAATAAATAGGTCATCTGTTGGACTATACTTGCTATACTTTCAACATGCATGGAGTGATTTTTTTTTCTTAACTTTGGAATTACTTTATCTGATCTGACTTTCTACTACTATGTTATATCTCAGAACAGAATGCACATATTTGAAGACACACTTCTACTTTTGCTCTTAAAAGGGCAAAATAAAAATGTAAAGGGATAGTAGTGCTGAGATTCTGAAGATACTATTAAAAACAGAACACTTAGTTAGAAAGTACCAGTTTAAATGTAAACTATAAAACACTATAACTATAAAATGTAGCCAGAAATCTTTTAGTAACCACAGTCTGTTCAGTTCATATTGGTTTAAAATGTGATTCATTAAATATCTTCTTCGCAAAGGCAGAAGCATTTTACAGTAGCTATGAACATATATAATTACATGTGCATTTCAACATCACAATTAATTAAAATACATAAAAAGTAATTTAATCCTTGGTTTCATCATTTTATTTTTAAAGAATCACTCAAAGCAACAATGACCAGAGTGGGCATTTATCAATATTCCCGCCCATACAGTTAGCATAATTTATGTATCTTTAAACTCCAAATTCAAGCTGGCTACATGTTTTCAGGAAAAAAAGGCTAAAGCCAAGATGAATGCCCACATTTGAGGTAATTATTGCCATTAGGTCACAGTTTTTGTAAGGTAAGTATTTTAATCCTTCTTTATATATAAAACAAAGTGTTCTGTCAGAATTCTAGGATCTCAGTTAATGCAACTCAAATCCAGAATCCTGATCAGGTGGGTTTGCTTCCAATGGAGTCAGTGAGTTCTAGAAAGTTAGAAGCATCTAGAACACAGAGACACTACTCTAGAACCATAGAAAACAAGAAAACAAGGGGGAATGCAAAAACTATTGAAGAAAGTTTTTAAAAAAACAACAAGATTGATGGCAAATGCATATATTTTCTAATAGAAATTCCAGACCAAATGTTTAAAATTTCCTCATTTATCGACTTAAAACAAACAAACAAACAAATATGTCTCTGTTATTATCTGCTCCATCCCAACAACTTAATAAGTCCTTGGCTTTGTCCTGAAAGTGAGATAAACATTCTCTTACTTTCAGCAGTGTTGCCCCACCTCTGGAAGGAAGGAAGAAAGGAGGAAGGAAGGAGAGAGATGCCCCCTAGGTACCATTCACACACAAGTGTTTGGGTGACTGGCATGCAGCTCCCCCATCAGCTGAAGAGTTAGGATTAGAGATGTTACAATATTTATCAGTGCAGTAAAAATATCATATTTGGAAAAAATATGCCTTTAGTATTGCCTTTCTTGGTTTAACTACATTAAGCAAAAGATTAATATACAACTTTATTTTTCTTAATATGAACACATCAAGTCTGGTATAGCAGCACTGCTAAAACTGGAAGGACAATACTAACCCGTACGTGAGAAATGAGAGTTTCACTCTTATTTGCTATATTCAGAAAAACAAGGTATTGGAGGCTCCTGACAACTTTTAGTAATTGCCCACTTAAAATTACATACTTGCTACATATGTGTTTCTTCTGCTATAAGAGATTGTTTACATTCACTGGTATCACCCTTCTGCTTGCCCAGCTAGGAAAATCCAGCAAACATATAAGCGTTCCCATGCAGCTATTTCCCCACCACTGCCACTACCCAAGGATAGGACTAAGTATCTACAGAAAACACACTGAGGTTTTTAGCCAACTATTTTGAGCCCAATCCTTACAATGACATGACTCAAATAAACATTACTATGAAATCCAGCTACCCAAAGTAATGGTAGAACACAGCAGTGTATTAGGTAGGCCATGTTCTGATGATCAGTCATGGACCAATTCTAGAGCAGCAGCAGCCCCCCCCCCCCAAAAAAAAGCTGTGCCTCACATAAAATATTGCAGCAATGACCTGGGATACAACTACTCATATTGCCCTACAAGTCCTGTAGGATGAGGGGTGCTTCGCTCAATTTGATCAGCTAACTGGGGCCAAACAAGTTTTAGCTTATATACTAGGAATTTATACAATCAGGATTTCTACAGGCCCTGGTAAGACAGAGCAAGCAAGGGAAGGAAGAAAGGCTCGAGAGCATCTTGTCTTTCACTCCAACTACAGGTGCAGGAACCAAAGAAAACAAGACTCCGAAAGACTCAGAGGATGCACAACAAGCCATATGGGATGGTGCAAAACAGGTTGTCTGCAGAGTTGGCTGGAGGATTTTCAAATGGGCCACAGGAGTCCATGAGTACAGATTTACTGGCCTAAAATATCACCTACAGGATAAAGACGGAAGGAGAGGGGCAAACTATTCTCAGCCTTCCCCAACCTGGTGTCCTCCAGATGTGCTAGACAACACTTCCCACAATCCCCAGATAGCTCAGCTGGGAACTATGGGAGTTGCAGTCCAACATATCTGGCAGGCACCTGATTGGGGAAAGCTGTTAATGACAAAATGAGCAGAACAGGAAAGGGCTTCTTCCAGCTAATCCTCTGAAGGATAGATCTTACTTGGGAAAACCAAAGCTTATCCCTAGGCATGGAAGTTCCCACACTGACAGGGCTGGTGAGGCAGTTTCCTTTCATGCAGCTGCATAGATCTGCAACGTGGCTTTGTTGCAGTACTGACTCTGACTGGGACAGCAGATGCTGGTTACTAAGGCATGATAGTCACATATTATAGAAACAAAAAGAGTTGACAGAAGCTTGGTTCTAAGAGGCAGCTTAGCAAATCTATACGCTATAGCGATTGCCATGGATAATAGAATGATTATTGTAACGATTTCTGAGTGACACAAGCATTTGTCTCCCTTTCACCAGGCACCTACTGACATTTCGGCCAACAGCAGTGAACACGACTGAAATCTCCCAAGCAAACTTCTTCAGATTCACATTTGAAGGATAGTGAGTGTGACAAAACCAGAAAGGCAGCCAAAAGAAAAATGGCATTCCATATCATGTCACTCATGACGTGACTGAAATCTTTAGTGGACAAAGACATGCTCTAATTTAAATATTTATTCATTTTTTAAAATCTTTGGTTAAAAAAAGTCATGGGATTTAATTTCCCTTCAAATTTGGTAAATTGTAATTTCTTTTCAAGCCAAATTCTGAGGCATGCTCCCTTAAAGAGGTATGGAAAAAAGGAAGGAGAGACAGTATTATTTCATTGGGCTGTGATATGACTGAGCTACTAAAGTGAGGGGAAAGGTGGAAAATATTAAACCTTGACAGGTACAGGGCCCAAGTTCACTGAAACTGGAATTACTTCTTCAGACAACGGCATCAAGTTGTTAAAGGGGTCTTGCCTGTAGGATGAGGGACAAGGGGAGCAGGGGAAATCTACGTCTTCTCTTGTTTCCTTCTGGAAGTAGGTCCTCCATTGCATTTAAACATTTGGAGATGTACTATTAGGAATCACCAAAAGATGAACATGATGGATCTCATCCTCTCCATCCCCTGCCTATGCAAGGAAACTGATCTGGTGAAAGGGTTCCTTGCTTCATTCTAACAGCATTGCAAGATGCACTTGTGGGCAACAGCTACTGCAGTTTACAGTCTAGCACCTTCCAAAGAACCACTTCTCAAAAATGCTGCAGCAGTTTAACAATGCAATCCTACAGATGCCTATCCAGACAAAAAGCCAGACTGACTTTAATACTTATTGCTAGGTACAGAAGTATGTATCAGATTACAGCCTTTGTTTCCTCAATGGTACACACTAGTGCCGCTATTAAACTGTTACATCCTTTCACACATCTTAAGCCACTTTCCCCAGAGATTCGCGAAGAACTCCAAAGGGCATGCTGATGAATTAACAGCATCATCCCCCAATTCAGCTCTCCATAACCTTGCACCGTCTGTATATATTTGACTACAACATCCACCATTCCTAGCTAATATGTGACCAATGGGCAGGGATGATACCAGTTGTCACCCAAGACATCTGAAGGATACTGGGTTGGGCAGCACAGCATCAGGGAAATCATTCTCATTCGATTACTCACTCATATCTAATTCCCAGTCTACTTTCTTGGCAGTATCCAATATTGCCCCACCTGCCTCTGCTGATGAAATTGTGCCAGCAGAAAACACCCTGGGCACAACTAGAGCTGCCCCAGAAACAAATCAAAACACGAGCGTTTTGCATTCTGGAAGTGAGATCTGCAACTAGTGTTTCCTCCTATGAGCTCCAATTACCTGTTTGGAAAAATTTCAGCACATTTCTGGTGGCTTTAGAAAACTCTAGCTAGTGGTGGGTCCTGCTGATGTTATGGAATGCTAGCTGTGCTCCTCAGCTTCGATAACACTGCAGTATACCGATCAGGTGGCGGGAGGCCTGCATGAGCACCCTTCAGATGCTCTGGACCATCCTCTGCATCCTGACCACTAGGTATCTCCTGACTGGAGCCAATGGAATGTGTTGTCCAGCACACGTGGAGAGTGCCAGGTTGCCAAATGTTGTGCTAGACATGCCACACCTCTCTCCCCATGGTAAAGACGATATTCACTATGTCTAAAAATAACTTCAGTGGCTTACTATATTCAGTAAAACATTACCTCCATCTCCTTCTCTAAAAGAAATGCACATATTCCTGTTGCCACAGCATAGGGATGAGGAGTGTGCAGCCCGCCAGATGCTGTTGGACTGCAACTTCCATCATTCCTCACCCCAACTATGTTGGCTAGGGTTGACTGGAATTGCAGTCCACCAACAACTGGGGAAGGGGCCAGACATTCCCCATCACTGGAACAGCAAACACAAATATCCCCTCTGGATATTTTATTTCACTACCTCCTCACCTCAGTCTTGCCTCTCTAACTAATCCACCATCTGACCCTATGCTGTTAAAGTTTTTTCCAACCATGGCAGGTGGTGGGGAAGCACCTCCTGTACAATTTGTGAATGTTGTTGCCTCCACTTCAAAAATCTTTAGATTCCCTGTTCCTACAGTATTGGAAATATTCTACACTGAAAATAACACAGAGACACAGACACACATAAAAAGTAAAAGTAAAATATATTAATAAAACATTTTAAAATGAACAACTAAAGCCAGTTCTATCTGTCTTCCTTTCTTGCCACAAATCAGACAATCACACACATTCCTGATATACCAATAAATATTAATGTGTTAAATATGCCCAAATGCTGAGCTTTAAGAATATGCTTGACCAAATAGCATCCTGCAGAAGACAACAGACATCCTCAGTTTTGTAGTGAAAAATGAGGATGGAGAAAAGAAAATCTTAGATCATTTTGTACTAGAAGTCTTTTGTACTTCTTTATATTTTGTACTTCAGTATTTTGTACTAAAAGTATTTGCAAGCGTAAGAAGAAAATGCTTTGGGAAGGAGAAAATGCAAACTATTTTGGCCATATGGTTATTATTGTAATCATAAACAACATCCAAGGACAAAACAGACCATGTCTTATTCTGAGTTTTGGAGTTTTTCAGTTTTTAAATAGCTAATAATTCAAGTCATAACTTCTCCTTAGCTGGCCCCATAAATGTCACTGCACTCAGATGATAAAACCTCGCTCTTAGTCACCACTGGAGTTTTAAAGTAGAAACTTAACTAATTTATTACAGGACACCTCCAATCCTGTAATAAAGGGTTGTGGTTTTGCCCTATTATTCTATACCACAGCAATGCACCGGACATTAGCTTCTACCACGCAAGATCAGTATCTTCATGATCCTCATATCCTTCTTGAATCCATTTCTGAACCATTTGTGCCTAAAATGGTTTACTCACAAGATGTTGTGAGGCTATCCCACTGGCATTGTTCAGATCTAGTAAGAAGCCAGGATTGCCCCCCGTGTGAACACACCATGTGAACACACTTTGAGCTTGCATGCTTCTCCTTCCCAAGGATACAAGAAACATTTGTTTCTGGTTTTCAAGTAACCAGAGTGTCCCACAATGTTTAAACTTGGAACTGTGGTTTGCTTAAACAAAGATTAGAGAAAGCAAGCTAAGGCCAAGCTGCTGGTGAACAATTCAGAGCTTCCTGGGTTTGGACATCACGGGGAACTGTGGCTATTTCAGAACCAGAAGTGCATGCTTAGGACCCCCTCCCTACCTCATGTGAAAGGCTACAGAGGGGACTGTCTGAGCCTGAGCCTCACCACCACTTATTTGCACTGCAGGAAGTCATAATTTCCTGTCACATCCCTTGGTTCCTCTCTCAGTCAGACTGTCCTTGTCTTTCTTTCCCCGCAAAACCTATGTGGGCGAGAACTGTTCTGTGTCACCGACACAGAAGAAACCCTACTTCATTAACAACCAATACTCTATTAAGAAATAATAACAACAACAACAACAATAACAACAAAGATGCAGGAATGCATGTGCAATTAGAACAAAGAGTAAAATATAATTATAACATTAAAATTAATAACAGCACAGTGAAAACAAAAAACCCAAACTCCTTCGTAATGACACAAGCAGCACAAAGCTTCCATTCCAAATGTGATGAGATAGAAGAGGAATGAAGTATATTACATTGTGAAAGTACAGAACTTCTTTAACGGGATGGGTACCAGAGAGAGTGTTCTTCAGAACAGGAATATGTAAGGTGTATGAACCAAAGAAAGACCAGGCTGGTATTACTGTCCTTATGGGGAGGGAGAAAAATGGCTAAAAGACTGTATTTGAGGGTTTGCCATGTAACTTGTGTCCAGCAAAGTAGTCATAATGAGAGCCCTTCTTTCCTCCATGCAAGGCATGCATGCCTGTTTCTAGATCTTACAACTGTGCTTGTCTTTCTTGCCAACTTACCTCCTGAGAAACCTTTCGACTTAACCATCCCTGGGACCCCTCCCTCTTCTCTTAGCTAACTGACCTGCCTTATCCCAACATCTTACCATATTGCCTAAACACTCCTTTTCTGAAGCCACAAATTCAGCTGTAGTGGTACTGAGATACTGTGCAGGTATACGTCCTGTTACAGGACAGGTCTCAGACCACCCGTACAAGTAAATCTCCACAGGGGGAAAAACACGGAGCACTGACACAGCAAAAACACCCACTTGCATTGGCGTAGCAGTAACATTTCCCTCAACCCTTTTACTTTTTTACTGTATAAAAGCTTCTCTTTGGAAAACTTGAAAAAAGTAGTTCAGACTATTTGGAGCAGAGGATACAGAATCCAGCCAGAAAATCTGAACTTTTTTTAAAACCACGGTAAGAATGAGGTGGGAAGAAGTGAAGAAAACAGAATTTAAAGTTTAGCTTCTACACCACGATGGATCTCATCATGGCTTCTCTAACTAGGTCTAGCTCCAGGATTTCTTCGGCACACACGATCACACCCTACTCCTGGAAAGAAAGCATAGCCTGGGCCAAGGACTCGGCTGCCCAACCTGCTCAGGTGCCAGTGCAATAGCTTCTCCAGAAAAGTATCTTCTGGAGCAAAACTGAGTCTGATGCTCTAGAAAGAATTCCTCTCATTCTTGTATTTCTTTTCCCACTGAAAACATTCAAGTGAAAACATATAGAGTCCTTCCCAGGTAATCATCTCCCCCCACCCTCACATCCCAGTTCAGACATAGCAATTTAACATGAGGTACTAGATATTTCTGATCCAAAGCAAGCCTAGAAGTCCCCTTTTCTGTTTATCTTTTAGTAAGAATACTAGACTGCAAAGAATTATGGGGGGGAGCAAAACATCTGGACAGGAAATTCTATCATTAACTCCTTCAATGAAATGGAACTACTTGGAAAGCTGCTTTAGGGTCTAACAGACAGTCCAGTCATTTCAGTTCCCAAAAAATCTTGCTAGGCCCACTCTCTTTTTCAAACATTTCCATAGATCCTTCCTTGACCCTTGCAACTTACCCAAGAAAGACAGTTCAATAACAAAAGGTCTAAAAGAAGGAAAGCAACAATGAAGCGCACTAAAAAGAAGAAAAAGAGCTGAGATTAAATTCCAACCAGCCTCAGTCAGTTTCTAGGAGTACCAGTGGAAGTAAACCCTTAAAACCGCAACTGTAGTTTGGTAAGGCACTACAAGGGAATGATGTAAAACTAAGACTGTGACAGTTTGTAATGGCTGTGCTGAGGACCACACCACAAGAGAAGGCAGCATCAGCGCGCACGTGCGCACTCTCTCTCTCTCTCTCTCTCTCTCACACACACACACACACATCTATACCTGGACAATCACATTTGTTACATGCCTATGTTATATCACTTTTTTGTGCAATCACACTGAGGAATAGTCTATTGGTATCATTGGAATTCAACAAAAAGTAGAAAAAAGGGTGTATGTATGGTATGGTGCTACATTCTACCAAGGGCCAGCTAGAACCTCTACTCCTACACTAACAGCCCAATCCTAAGCACTTGGGATTGTGTACCTGCTCCAAGAAACCGGTGCAATGTCACTGTAATGCTTTGTGACACTGGGATGAATGAGCTATTGGAACAGCTCATGACCCTGGAGCAGGAGATGTTAGGATTGGACTGCCAAAGGCGAGGGGTTATCCAAAGAAAGAAAGAAAGGAGGAGGAAGGAAAGTAAGGAAGATGAGATTCTATTGTTCATTATTAAGTTTTTTCTTTTACGAATAACATTTCTCAGGGATTTATCCAGGGCACTCAGATTAAGAACCAATCTCCCCATTGCCTCAATTCCGCCAGATAGTGTTTTCTGCTTAGTGTCAGTTTCTCCAGCCTACTAGTGCTGCTAAGCCTGAGACAGAGAGAGCTGGAAAAATCCAAAACATCCCTCATCCTTTGCTGGTTCCTCTATTGATCCTCCCAACAGAAAACACATCACACTTTTATGGATTTTTTTTATTTTGGGTTACAGCAACAATGACAAAGCGATAACCCTTTTGAAATACTGGATAAATCCCTAATTTCTATGCATCATGGTTGAATTAAAAAAAATATACCCAAACACCTATGAAACTTTGTATTAGGAGGTTTGAACAGCAAATTCCTAAATGTAGTCTCCTGTAATCAGATGAAAATAATTTGTAAAAGTCTATTGGTGAAGTTATCCAAAAACAGGACCACACAACTAAGGTCCTTTGCTTTTTCCACTATGTGGTTTGGTACAGAATGGGTTTTTTTTTGTACATTTGTTTTTCATTCTTTTTATTCTTTTTTTCTTATCTTTTTTTTAAATAAAAAGTGTAGGACTGGTATCGCCTCTTCTCTCATTTCCTCTTCAAAGTCTCCTTTGTTCAAGTTTTGTTTGAGCCTCCCACTGCATTGTTCATTTGCCTGAAACGTTCTTCAGCATACAAGCCGCCCGTTCCCCTCATTGTATGCCATGACGCTTCCTCGTTCCAGTGTTTAGATGTAAGGGTACTGGTTGACCTTTGTGGGGCTCAGGGGGTATCCAGTGTAGACTGAGGCTGGAGATGCACTGATATAGGTCTGGTGGGCAAACTGGGCTTGATACTGACTGGGGTGGATCGTGGGCGACGGAAGGACACGAGGGCCCATGCTGACGGGGACCTGATGGACAATGCTGGCCGGGTACGTGGTGTGCTGCACCGCATGACGAGCTGAACCTTGGGAAGCCACCAAATGGGCCACGGTGCCAGTGGAGCCCAACGCGGCAGGCGCAGTGTACGTGTAGAGATGAGGCTGGGTGGGGAGATGAGCAGCAGCGGCCGCAGCCAGGTGCGGGTGGACCGTGCCATGGCTGGGGCTGTTGTGTGGGAAGGAATAGGGCGCCTGAGCAATGGTTGGAGTGATGTAGGCTTGCTGTCGCCGATGACTCCCTGTGCGATCCGTCGTGATGTGCTGCTGGGCCTGTTCAAAAGGAACAGCAATTAAATGATGGCAAGAGCTGGCGTGCACCCGATGCCCCCCAGGACCATGAGGTGCCAGAAGGATCCAGGGTCTAGACCCGGACCCACAGGACAAAAAAATGCACACCTTTGCAACTGACCGAATCTCAAAAGTGTGTGTGTATTTTTAAAGGATCCTATCTCCTAAGGGCACTTCCATATGTAAAAGGAGATTTATGGACAGGTTTTAGGAAGGCATTTGAATTCAGAAAAGAGAGACAGAAAAATCCAAGAAATCATGCTGTTTTTCTATAATTAAGAAAACTAAGAAAACCTACTATAATTAAGACTGAATACATGCAACTGCATGCATGCTCTTGCCCTGTTTATGCAGCCTTCCATTCCTCTGTTGCCTCTTCTGCATAGACTTTTAGATTGTAAGTTTCTTGGGGCAGGGACCTGTCCTCTTGTTTTTTATAAAGCTCAATTCCTGGTATCTCCAATTGAAAACATTTAACCTTATTCTTTTAAGGAAAAACATCAGCAACAGATGATAGACGAGATATTTGTGTAAGACTTTGGAGCACAATTAAAGACTATAGAAGGTGGATGAACAAACAGTCCAATATGGTATAGGGTACTTTTCTATGTTTCTAGGGACAGTATAAAACAGTGTTTACAAGCTCACCATAAGGGAAAATTAAAAAAAAAAAAAGTCCTCACTTGGTGCTGAAAAAAAACATAAAATTCAGCACCAGGCGATCTCTCCCTGGGGACTGCACTTCACATTAGGGTTCATAACTGAAAAGACCCTCCCCTGCGTTCCTATCCACTTAGCTTTTGAGGTCAGGCACTTGGCAACAAATTTCTAAGAAGGATCTTAATGGGCTGGTTATGCATGATTTGTGTAAAACTGGCTTACTCTATGCAAATTTCCTTAGCTTTTTTAATGAATAAGATGTGCCCTGTGCTGAAGATTAAAGTCCATGAACTGGCTCACTTTATACCACAGTGAGCTGACTCCAGCATAGGACTGGCAAACCGGAATCCATATAATGAAAATTCACCAGATTTTCATCTCGGTATTGGATCCTTAATGCATCTCCAGTCGCAAGATAGTATTTATGTTATTAATCCTTTTCTAGCCACCTTCCAAGGCCATAGACTTCTCAAGACAGCTTACAGTATAAAAACAACACAAAACCATTTTAATAGTCACATTCACAGAGCAAGTCTGCTGGGAGAAGGAAGTCCTCATAGTAGCTGGTGCAGAGCTTCAGGTCATTAAAGATTAAAACAAATCCCCTGAATTCTTGTTCCCAGCCTTACACATTTGCTTTTGAGCAACTCTAGCTACTATTCACAAGTCACTTCTTGGGCCATGCAAACATTTCAGGCTGGCTGCTACCTTGCCTCCAGCCTAGAGATGTATTTAGGAGCTTTTGTACAGGATGCAATTCAAATGCTAAGTGAAATATACCAAGCCATATCAAGCACTTTGATTGGCAATGACTCTATAATCCATTTTGGGCTTTGTCTGGTAAGTGGGGACTTGCATTCCTCTTATGTCTTTGTTCATGATTCCTACCTCTTGGCTTTTCAGGCCCCCTGTTTCCCTGCCACTTTCTTCATACAGTCAACTCACCATTCTTGACTAGATGCTGCTCGGGCCTGAGTGATTACCGCTGGCTCTGGACTCTGATGAAACCTTTTAGCTGGGGAACTGCATTCATTTCCCTCCTTTGGGTTTCTGGTTTGTCAGCCTGTTGCTGATGCCCAATCATAAAAAGGCTGCAATCTTGCAAGCATCCATGTCAGATGCTTGCAAGTACTTATACATCCCCATCCTCTTCTCTTGCTCTCCTCTGGCCTAACAACTTACTTATGGCAGCAGATACTCCAGAAAGGTCTGCTGAGGAGGTGGTGTGCCCACTACTACCTCTGCTACTGCAGATTTGTTTGCCCAGTGGGGTGGGGAGCTGTGGAAGAGGAAAAGGGAGGCAGACCTTTGCATTTATTAGCCCTGCAAATGGATGCAATCATTTGAACGTGAGTCTCACATTTATGGGCACCCTTTTTTAGCTGTGTGTGTGTGCACTGATATATGTATTACATTTCTCTACTGCCCCATAGGCAAAGCTATCTGAGATGTTCACAATAATTAAGATCATACAACACAACAGGATAAAATAGGGCTCCCTTCCACACCTACTTCTTAGATCTCTGGTAAAAATTCCTAATCTCCTCCGCTGAACCCAGACTAGCACTGCTAATATTCCATGAGTTGCTCTGAGTGGACCCAGCTGGCCTTCCGCATAGGCTCAGGCCATGTGATTCCTTGGGTAGCTACCACACGATCTTGCAGCACCTTCTTTGCCTACAGGCCGCATCCTCTGTGACTCACCTGGCTGAGATTAAGAGGCTGCTGCTGCTGGAAATGTGGTCCTGGCCGCTGCTGCCTGTAGGCAATGGCTCCAGACGAGCTCCCTGAAGAGTGACCGCTGGTGGAGGTCACAATGCTGGAGGACTTCGACTTGTAGGAGGATGAGTGGTGACTGGTGGTGACTGGGAGGGGAAATAACATACATTCATGATTGAATTTAAGTGCAACAGTCATCAGAAGCTTCAGAGCAGGGGTGCTGAACCGCTTTTGGCCTAGTTGTCTGGATAGCCAAACTGAAACCCCAAGCAAGCTGGATTTCACTCATCAATACCCCTCTTCTAGTGAAATGTACCTTATTCGTATTTAATCCATTAAGAGTAATTTGCCTAGAAACAAGTTTTTTTCCTCCAAATTATGAAGAAAATTGCTTATAAAACTCTTAGCACATTCGGGAGTTCCCCTTGCCTGCCTTTGGGGGATGTTCCCTTAAAAAGAAAAAAAAACGCTTCCTGTTTTCCTGCTAGCACATCCTCCTAGGATGTGTGTGACTAAATCTGCTAGGGACTACTGAGGACACCCAAACACCTCCGGTGATCTGTACACACTGGCCAGGTTCGCATGATCACCAAATAAAAGAAGCCACAATGGCTTCTTTTCCCTTCTACCCACAAGCCAGTTACATGCTGTACAATTTGCCTGGCTATCCTCATGGGCCACAAATTGCTCTGTCACCTGCATCCAGCCAGGTGTGTGGTAGGGTAACTTGGAAACCACCTCGGAACCCCATGGCTTGTTGTAGAGTCCTGCAACTATGGCAAAGTCAACCTCACTGGGCTTGTTTGGAAGCCAGCCTTACCTCCATACACCTCCCTGGGTCTGGACAATATGGCAAGCTCTGTGCTGCAAATCATGCAGGATGATTGTGTGAATCAAAATGCTTCCAAAAGGCAGAGTTCCGCAGCCTGGTCCCTCCAGCTGTGTAACGCAACTGCCAGCATGGCTGTCTGTGGCATGCTGGGATTTGCAGTGCAACACAGCTGGAGGTCATCAGGTTGGAGAAAGTTGTTCTAAGGTGTTTCAGCCTCGCTTTTTCTCTGAAGGATGCTGCAAACATACCTGGTACCAAGCTATCACATTCTACTAACACCTCGCTGGCCTGCGTTTTCAGTGGCGGTACAATGATTGTCCGGGGATTGCCATTGCAGTGAGTTTCCAGTGCTCCCTTTGTATCATAGCTATTTCCATTATTGTTGTTTCCACGGTGCTGCACTGTGTAGGGACTGTTGTTGCCAGAGGAATCGGAGTAGGGGGAATCATGCACAGTTACACAGCTGATGACGTTTTTTCTTTGCTTGGAGAGGGGGCTGTAAAACAAAATAAACCCTTCCCATGTAAGGTTGCCACACATGCCAGCATGTCAATGCATTATCAAGTTCTTCTTGCAATTAGGTTGTCAGCATCTCATCCTTTTTGTATTTGATTCACTCTCATGAGCCCCCCCGCCCAGGTCCAGAGCATTGTCAGCACAGCCTGTTCTTCCTACTAGCTTCTCTGTATCAGGTAGGTAACCTTGTTGCGGGGCTGGGTCCAAGTTATTGGGGGGAGAGGGCCAGCAGAATACCCTGTGGTTGGTCCCTGTGGCTATGCCAGTCACTCCCTGTCTGTCCAACTTTGTTCCCCTGGCTATCACAATAGGACAGTCAGGAGCACTGAACACTTTGAAGAAACATAATGGCACCTTAAGAAGTCTTCTGTGGGGTCCATCAGGCAAAGGAAGCATCCTCATAACATTGAAGGGCTGGGATATTAACCCCTTGTTTCTGAGAATTCCCTCAAGCATTGCCAAAACACTTTTTGAAACTATTTCTATTTGGCTGGGTACTTGATGCACGCATCCTAAGTCCAGGCTGGGGTGTAGGACACTATTTCCTGTGATTGTGGGGAACAGAATTTTGCTGCCATGTAGAGCTATAACTGCCGCTCTACATGATTAGCTGAAGCAAAATATGCAAACACATGGATTGTGTGTTCCTAGATAATCAGCTAGGAAATCCTGCAATGATGCACACCGTCTGAATTCTAGGCATATCAGTGCAGCAAGAGGTATTGGCTGCTATTGTTCCATGCTAGGTAAGCAGGGGGGCCCACGCCTGTGCAGGGGAATTTCTGGAAATGCAGATTATTTACAGCTCTGCCATGCACATCTGCACTGTAGGAGCTTCTCTTTCAGCTTGCTCCTCCAGCTTCCTACAGGAATGCTGTCATAAGCTAATATAATGAGGATGTATATTGTTCTCTCTCTCTCTCTCTCTCTCTCTCTCTCTCTCTCTCTGTGTGTGTGTGTGTGTGTGTGTGTGTACATGTTATCAGTCATCACTATGAACTCAGCTATACTATTTATGTTCAGATAAAGATTCAGAAACCAAGCTGCAAAGGAATAACCATTCTGCTTTTTCACTTTACATCACTATACACTCTTTTTTCCACTGGCAGCTTTTATTTTCTTTGCTCCCCCATGCCCAATTCTCTGCCTCTTTCCCCCAGTCTGCCATGCCCTAACAAAATACATTCTGGGGAAACTCCCATATTTCACAAGAATGTAAAATTAAGCTTTGCTGTTCCAAAGCAATTCAATTTATCACCTAAGACAAAACATTGATATTTAAAAATGAGTGTATTTTTACAATACAGAATCTTGGGTTTTATATTTTAACACTGACAAGATCTTTAATTTTATATTTTATGTTATGTCTTTCGTAAGTTACCATGAACACATACTAAATGGATTAGGTAATTTTTTCAGTCTGGGTCAATTTCATACATATTTCTTCTTAAATCCATTCTACTCTGTTTCTAAATTAATATATGTGTATTTTAATCTACATGAAAATACATATTTTATATGCATTACATGGCAAAATGCACATTTTATATAGGTTTTAATACATATTTATGGTATGGTACACATATTATACAGATGTTCTAAACACTGTTCCAAAATTTGGAGAAGTGTGGAATGAGAAGGGTCAGTGATACAGTCTGCACATCCATTCAGGAGGTACAAATTGAGTCTTCCAAATGCAGGCTGAACAGCAGCCTAGAACATCCTTATCATGAACTCAGAACATGAAGGTACTATCAGACTAAACTGCCCATAATGATATCAAAGAAATTGTCATTAATTCCTCAAGTTATGGCAGAAGTTCAGAAAGAAAATGCTTCAACTCTATTGGGATTCCTAGTATTATCGGGTATAATAACACTTTTGGTTTCCCTCCTCCCCAGTATTAACTGCTTTAGAAGATGGGCAGCTGTACCAAAATTTACTCAAGTCCTCAATTGGACATGGGCTTGACTACAGATAATAGCAACAATGTTTGCTGGTTGCATTATGTTGTTATGGCAACTGTAATTTTGTAAAATGAGGAAAAGAAATGAATCAAGGATAAATACCCTGCAATTAGAAATACTGGTGGAAGCCATCTTACAAGGTGATGCATGAATGTTTAGAATACAACCATGGCTATCTCAAATCTCTGCAGTAATACCTCCCCACTTTTCAATCCTACATGGAGCACAAAATTTGATTTCTTAAAATATTTGTTCAGCAGGAAAAGCATTTCTGTGGAGCTTTATTCCTATAGGTACTGCAAATGTATATTTGGTTTATACCAGTTTAACAGCCATGGCTTCCCTAAGAAGTCCTGGGAACAGCAATTTGTGGAAACCCCTCCCTTTGGGAGCACTATCCCACCTATATCTTTCAGAACTAGATCTCCCAGCTTTCCCTGAATGTAGAGAAAGCAGGCTGAAGCCGTCTTCATAGTTATCAATGATGGCATGCACAGCATCACTGAGTTCCCAGAAGAAATGCTGTGAATGGTTGCTTTGTTACCCACCAGAGTCCCAGTTTCAGGAGTCTCAGAAACAAGCAACTGGGGAGCTACTCCTGAGTCAAATGAGTTCCAGAGTGGTTGCCAGATTAGTTCATTGTAGCCAAGACTTTATGGCACTTTGAAGACTAGCCTTCCCCAACTTGGTGCCCTCCACTAGTTTTGGTCTTCAACTCCCTGAAGGCCCAGCCAGTATGGTCAGTGGTCCAGTATGTAGGGAGTTGCTGGCCATAAAATCTGGAGGTCATCAGGCTAGAAAAGGCTAATGCATCTAGTACACATTCAAAGACTTCTTTACGTGGTCAAGGGACGTTTTTAAACAGCTTCTATAGAGTAAGCGACTAAAGTGATTTTGCCTAACTAATAGGTGGTGTTGAAAATCAATTTATATTAAACTACATTTGATCTTACTACACACATTATTTATCTGTGTTACATCAAAATTTTAGCAAAATGATCTTCCATCTTTCCAGATAGAACCCTAATTTGCTATATAAGATTCACTTTTAATATTTATCATACATATCTGACTTTCTTTCACCTATTTTTTTATTGGACAGTATGCAGTTCTGCCCCTCCACAAGCAGGACCCACTGTTCCCATAGCACAAATTACCAGCCCAGTCAGCACAAGTGGCTCCTGCCTCTTGTTCCACAAAGATGTAGTGCTTTTGAGAAGCCCCTAAACAAGGGGAAAAACTTATTACTGGAAGAGTGCTGGTTGGCAAAGTTAATATGAGCACTGCCAACCTACTCCATTCTATTAACTAAAATTTCCATCCATTTTTGGTTGCCACCAGAAGTGCTAAATCTACCTTCATTAAACAGGAGGCACCATTTGCAGAATGGAATTGGCAAGACTGGCCACTTGGGAGCAGTTAGCATTGGCTTCAGTCCATTATCTTTATCCGTGTTCCTCTCCTATCTTTCTGCTTCTGCTGTAAGATATTCAGTAAAAGGTTCAGCCTATACAAGTTCAACTCATAATCCAGTTTTGGAGCCCAACTCACTAACTGAAGATCAGAGCTACATTAGGATAAACTATGATTATTTTTGCTATTGTTAATATCTTAATTAATCTAGGGTCAGCCCTATATTTACATATATACACACATATTTTAAGCCTTCCTACACAGCCCATGCAGATGTTACTGTGTTTCAGTATGTATGGAAATACCTTCCTACAAACAAAATGTAATGGTTTTCTGTTATAGAGCTCTGCTCTCTAGTTATCAAATAATAAAGAAAGACTTTCTGTGCCTATACTCCATTTATTCATTTATTTAAATATTTAATACCACCCTAGAAATATACTCCCACGCAGATTCCATCAAAAACTATTGCAATGGTCAGTGTCCAACGTAGCTGTTTCTCTTGGGCCAGCAAGACCTATTACTAGTACCTAGCACTTCCTATGTCTTGGAAATGAGTGAATATGAACAGGGCAGGGCAGCAGAGCTCCTTCTACAAGTTCTGCTGACTTGTGTTTCCACTTGTTTCCATTTGCTCCAGGTGGATCCACTAGTATGTAGGATGCATGGGATACTGCTCAATATAAATACAGAAAATATAATAAGCTAAAAGTGGAAACATCATAACAATAGCATCCAACAGTGATCAAGATTAAAATGGTATTTTAAAAAAAGATTGGGAAAATACAAATGTCACTGCTGAAGATCTTAGGGTACAGGAAAGATACAGGGAGACCAGCAGTCCACTTGCAGCTTCAGGGGGATCTCAGTGCCATGAGTTCCAGTCATGCCTCCACATCACAGTTTCTGGGTATTATGCCAACCTTTTCAGCCCCAGATGGAGACCCTTTTTGATTGTCCCAGCATTTGAAATGCTGTTTGAACAAGAGGTCCCCCCCTCCCCTGGGCCCTTTTATTATAATAATGTATCGAATTGTTGTTTGGTCCGTTGTAGTTGAATGAATGATTTAAATAATAAATTTTTATTATGGTTATGAACCAATCAGAATTTTGTTGAGACAATGCTTGCTTGCTTGCCATTCTGGGAACTCTTCCAAACTGAGGTGTAAGATACACATTTCCAAAACAAATGAACAGTTGCTGACTGGCAGTTGAATATAGGAAACAACTTCATGGAAATGCAGCACACCTGAAATGGCTTTGCTGTGATGCAAAGGTTCTGCCTGAGGTACTGGATCTCATTGCCCATTCACACATGTAAGACTTCATTTCATGTTGGAGTCATCCATTGAATGAACACACATAAGTACTATCTCAATGAGCTACATGGAGAGCAGGCATGAAGTGGCTTCTTCGTTAAAGCACCGTGGAGATAAAAGAGTCTCTTTACTGTAGCTGTAACCCTCTTTTTGGTATGAACACTTTAAAAGAGTAGCATCCATGCTTTCATTTCATTCATTACAATTCTAAACCGCCATGTAGCTGAATCGCTCAGGCAGTTTGCAAAGACTAAAACCTTTAAAATATATGATAAAAACAAACATAGAAACACAAAGAGAGAAAGGGAAATAGCTAAAAGCAATTTTAAACAAGAAAAACTCAAGACCTGATTCAAACCTATCAGAAGTTGCCACACCTGGAGAAGATTATTGTCTTAACCCGGTGCAGAAATCACAACACTTTTGGTGCTAGGGAGGCCTCACTGGGGAGATAACTTTATAATGGAGGAAAGGGTCACCATCATGGATGCCTTTTCCCTTATTGCCACCTTCCAAGCCTCCCTCAGAGCAGGCACCTGGAGAAGGGACTTAGGTGATGAACCCAGTGAATGGCTCAGGTTCATGCCTTGTTTTTTAGATTTGCTTTTCCCTGCAACAAACAGGATATCTTTGCCTCCCTTCCCCTCAGCCACTTTTCCCTTCCCATTCTTCTACCCTATAACTGGGAGCATGTGAAATTATATTCTGCCCAAACAGCAAACAGTGGCACTTGCTAGCTGGTTGCTGTCCTGCTAAAATCCTCCCCTTGCTCCAAGGGGGAATGTGGCCATTTGCTGCCAAACGGTGCCCTCAAAATTAACTTATTCTTTTTTCTTTCACACTAGCAAGTATGAATGGCATTGCACTAGGGTTGGCTTGTGGTAGCACAATGTTATCATTGCTAGTGCTGTGACACCACTGGATCCTGCCCATAGGCTTGGATGCCAATGTTTCTCAAACTGTGCTTATTGTTTTCAATTTCTAATCCAATTTTATGGAACCTTTAATGGAATTTCTTATAATGTGATGATTATGTTTGAGAGCTCTTGTTAGGCTTGGTAAGCAGGATAAAAATGTAATACAGAAATAAACAAAAATCTAGAATTGCCATTCCACACATCCACCAAAAGAGCAGAGAAGTACATGTTCTCAAATCTGCTTGTCCTTCCATTCCCAGGGATCATGAGAAAATGACCTTGGTTAAATACCTTGTTATCCTATTTATAAGAATGCTTTAATCCTCCATTTAACTTTCATATTTCTCTTTCTAACCAAATAAGGCTAATCTTTTTTATTCTGAAGAAAATATACAGTGTTTTCGTGACCAGCACACAGCTGAAAATCTCTGATCTTTCTGTAGGCATCAAAAGCCTGTACACACACATTAGGAGCACAGTGTTACTCTGAAAACAGTGTGTGTAAAGCCTGCCTATATTGATTCCCAATCCACCAAGGAAACTGCATACCTTTGCTGTCACCTCTAGTATTCATCAAAGAGTCCTATTTATGATGGTGGGTGAAAAACTGAAAAATACACACAAGTTGCTAGCATGGGAGCAGACATGCAGAGATGAATTACCAAGTGCACCAAGTGCCGAAATATTCACCTAAAGGGATGCTGAGGTCACTGTAATTAATTTTAGGGCCAAGTTCACATAGCACGAGATCTGCTGATATTGTAGACCTGGCTTGCTTTGAATTGGATTGGATCAGTGGTGTTAGGAAAGAGCTTTTATAAGAAGAGCCATGTGGATCAGACCAAAGAGCTACCTAATCCATCATTCTGTTCTCACAATGGCCAATCAGTTGTCTTTGGGAAGCTAATAAGAAGGATGAACAAAACAGCACCCTCTCATTTACAATGCCCAACAACTGGCATTCAGAGACATACAGCTTCTGATACTAGAGGCAACAGATAACCATCACCACTAGTAGATTTAGCTAACTTTATCCTCACCAAATCCATCTAATCCCCTTTTAAAGCTATCCAAGTTGGTGGTCATCACTAGATCTGTCTGTCCTAAATTTCTCACCATTTGGCCTTGTTGAATTAATCCTTCTCACTGCATGGTTTTCCTAATCTATGGTGAAAGCAAACACCAGTATCTTTCCCAAATGGTAAACAACACTGTGTTGTGTGTGTGCAGGGGCACATGTGTGTGTGATTGGGATCAGAAAAACAGTAGGAGGGTGGTGGCAGTCTAACACCCACTGATGGAGCTGCTCCAACTCAATTTGGAGACTCATATAGTTGGGTATGGCCATTGCAATGAGGAGAAATAACAAGATCTGGTGACGGTAACACATTTATGTGTATAAAAAGCACAGGTTAAACTGGACTATTCAATCATTTGGGTAGGGATGCAATTCTGGACTTTGGTGCTTTATGGAAATTCATCTAGTATAAAATTGGCAGTAAATAAGCACTTCCTATTTAGACTTTTAACAGTTATCTCCATTAGGTGGCACTCTTTCATTGCAGTACACTGAAAGGTACCTGGCTTATTACAGTCAGAGTTCCCCACTGTTTCTCAAATCATTAGAATTGACAGCATTTACAATGTTTATTGATTTTAAAACTATCACATAAAATGCATACATAAAATTTTTGGATTAGAATATACTCAACTTCTGTCAGCCAGATTCTTGTATGTTTACTCAGAAGTAGGTTCCACTGAGTTCAGTAAGCTTACATCCAAGTAAATATTGCATACGATTCTGTGTACATTTACCTAGGAGTAAGACTCATCGAATATACTGTTGAATAAATATGTGTAGGATTGCACTGTTAATGAAGGAAAAGTATTTTTTCTACTACCCTTTCAGAATTAATTAATGAGGTGTGTGGGTAATTTCAATCTCTTTAACAAATTGATCCTAAAAAACCCCCCACCTGTCTGTCAAAGTGTACCTGATTAAGTTTAATGGGGCTTACATCTTAGCTTGTGTACTTTAGGATTGCAGCCCAAGAAGGAATTATATATTAAGAATTACTTAGGCAGAAACAGTTTCTACTCTGGCTCTGAACATAAGTTTTAGTCTGCCTAAATTGTATATTAATATACTGCAGTGTAGTATCTGGTTGTATTTATGAATGTTAAGTTTTATTAAAATAATGTATTTCATTTTTATTTTTGTTTCATTCACAATCTTTGGTGGATTACAGATACATGGCTAAATACTGCGCATCTATACTTTATTTCACAGGAGACATTCTTCACATATCACAGGCATTGGTTTGCAAATTAATATTAAACTGATGAAACGTGTCAATATATGTTTATTTTTATGAAAACTGAAATACCATTTTTTGTCTGCAGAACAACCAGCCCTTGTTGCCAATCAGGCTATGGAGTCTGGTCCTGATCCAGTCTCAAGTTTGGATTAATTTCCGCTCATCCAGAAGATATCTAGGAAGCTAAGGATGGAATTCCATCACAGTGCCCGTAAGCCCTTGAACTTGGAGGTTTGGGGTGTCCTATGCAGAGCAGGAACTGGGGCAGAGGCCAACTTAGCTTCCCTGTCTTTCGTCCTGCATTTTGTTGGATGGGCTTTTTATTTTATTTTTTATTTTTTGGAAGGAGGCTAAGGAGGTGTCAGAAAAACTCATATCCCACCCTCTTCAGTATCACCCCCCTGCCCACATCTGCCCCCTTTCCCTTCTTGGAGGTAGTTTCCTGATCTCAGACAGCAGTTGGTACCATTCTGTCCACGTTGGCTATAAGGAAGCAGGGTGGAGGCCTGGAGCTCCCATTCCAAGCTCAAAGTTCAGAGCACCATCTCTGACTGCAGAATTGGGAATCCAAACCCCCGATGTTAAGGGCCATAAAACTGTTGCCTAATACAGTAATTTTGTGTATGTGTGTAAAATTGGCTTCATTTGACCTCTGATTTCTATTTAATTTGTTGCTTTTCTTATTCTGAAGAGAAAATGTGAATTGATGAAATATAAGAGTTTTAGCATATGAAATATTTCACTAAGGGTATGGCTAGCCTGTGCAAACAGGGATATGTGTCTTCACAGCTAATGAGCTATACATCAGTAAATCCTCCCTAAGGAGATTCACCTGGTGCCTTCTTTATACTCCTTTTGGCGCCAGGCAAAGACCTTCCTTTTTAAAAAGCATTTTAATAGTTGACACCACTAAACAGTTGTTTTGCATTTTATCTGTATTTTATTAGTATTGCATTTTTAATTGTTATTAGTTTTATTGTGCTTTTTTGTCTTATGATTGTGAGCTGCCCAGAGGTGATGTAGCAGCATTTAAATGCTTTAAATAAATAAATAAAATAGCTCTGACCCCAGTATTGGCAGGCCTAGCTGTGAAGTTCCCTACTCAAATAGATATTTATAAACTGATTTCAGGACCATGACACACAGGGCCTGAGTCTGGTTAAGGAGACATGGACTCAAATACCCTGTGAGGGAGACAGAAGCAGGGCCATTCCACTAGCCCTTGTGATCTTGTTTGTTTGGGTTCTTATTTTCATTTTGCCTCCCCATCCCCCTTTCCTTCTCTGCTGTGTCTTTCACTGAATGATTGTAAGATGTCCTTTATGGCGCAGCATAAAAATACTTCAAATAAAACACATCAGATATCCCATCTATCCCCTTTTCTATTGCATCCATCCATCTTATGCAAATATTTCTTCTAGAAAGACTGGGATAGTGACTAAGAGGGGCTGGTGATGCATTAATAGATGAACAAGCCCCTCCCTCTAGTACAGACTCCTTTGTACAGGGAATTGCGCCTGTACAAATGCACATACCAGGGTCACACTCATGCCATCCAGCAACATTTCCCTCCTGCTTACCTGGTGGGTGCGTGTTTCTGTTCCTCCTCATCATCAGTGTCGCTGCTGATAGTGATGACACTGACCGCAGGGCTGGGCGTGTCAGGAATGACTATCGTCTGTCGCTGCCGCTCCCGCGTGGTGCTGGAAGCCCCATCACCCCACCCGCATGTGACCGAGGTGCTGCAGGCTGGGCTATTATGCACCATGGCACAGCGAGGGGGGGTGTTCTCCTTGACTCGCTTAGATCGCTGTGGGGAGCTGATCGTCTGAGAGGAGGACACCTCAAAATTGGACATATTTCTGAAAGCAGCAAGAGAGAGACAACATGCATATTGTTCCACAATTGAATTGTAACTCTGTTTGTTTGCTTGTTTTGCTTTCTGGGTTCTTTACGTTTCCTTGCACTCCAATCCTACCCAGGTTTACTCAGAAGTATTAGTTCCAGAGTTGGTGTTCATCTTGAAGTTAGAATGTGTTCCGAGCCCATCAAGGGAAAGGGAAAGGGATTCATGGGCAACTTTGAAGTTAGTAAGTGTTCCAAGTCCATTTGACCTGAGTAGATATTCATATTCTGGTGCATGAATTTTGTAGCTGCCATGTTCCAAGATGGCTGACAAGCAAAAGCAATATGAAATAACTCATGAACAAATGTATGGGGAAAACTTTTAATAAGCAGTAGTAGATTCCAGAAGTACAACTTTTATATACTGTTTGCACTGCAGACTCCTTTAGAAACATAGAAACAGAGCGAGTCAGAAGGGGCCTCCCGGGCCATCTAGTCTGACCTCTGGCACCAGCCGGCTCCGCTCACAACATGCCCACCATGTGGATGTCCACCCTATCCTTGAACACCTGCACCGATGGGGCCTCAACGACCTCTTGTGGAAGCCCATTCCACACCCTCGGGGTCCTGACTGTCAGGAAGTGCTTCCTGGCATCCAAATGGAACCTTGGCTCCCTGAGCTTTGCTCCGTTGGAGCGCGTCCTGCCCTCCTCTGCAGGGGAGAACAGGTCTCTACCCATCTCCATGTGACATCCCCTCACATACCTATATGTCGCCAACAGATCCCCTCTGAGTCTTCTTCAGGCTGAAGAGACCCAGTTCCCTCAGTCTCGCCTCATACCCCATCCCCTGCAAATCGGCCACCAACCTTGTGGCCCTACGCTGCACTGACTCCAACCTGGCTATATCCTTTCTGTAATGAGGGGCCCAAAACTGAACACAATACTCCAGTTGCAGGCGCACCAGAGTCGTGTAGGGTGGTAGTAATACCTCTCTTGATCTAGAAGCCACACTTCTGGCTATGCAACCAAGGGTGGCGTTCGCCCTCTTGACCACCACATCACACCGCTGACTCATGTTTAGCCTGCAGTCAACCAGTACCCCGAGGTCCCTTTCACAAGTCCTGCTCTCCAGCCACTTATCACCTAACCTGTACTTATGACAGCTATTCCTATGCCCCAAGTGCAAGATCTTGCACTTATCCACATTAAACGCCATCCTGTTGTCTCCTGCCCACATCCATAGTCTGTCCAGATCCTTTTGGATCTGGAGTACCTGCTCCTCAGTTGTGGCCACTGCTCCAGTTTTAGTATCATCTGCGAATTTGATCAGCAGACTGTTCACCCCTTCTTCCATGTCATTAATGAAAAGATTAAACAGGATTGGCCCCAGGACAGAGCCCTGGGGGACCCCGCTTGTCACTGGTCGCCATCCCAGTGATTCCCCGCTAATGGTTACCTTCTGCTTTCGGTCAGTCACCATGCCCTAATCCACCAGACAGTGCTTTGGTGTATCCCAAAACTCCTCAGTTTCTCCACGAGGATATCATGGGGCACTTTGTCAAAGGCCTTGATGAAATCCAGGTATACCATATCCACTGCATCCCCTCCATCTAGCCATCTCGAAACCTTGTCATAGAATTCCACAAGGTTTGTCTGGCAGGACCTGTTTTTGCGGAAGCCGTGTTGTGTGGCTGTCAGCCTCCCTTCTCTATCTAGCATCACTAGATCTCTCTCTATTATGAGCCTTTCCATTGTTTTTCCTACAATGGATGTAAGGCTAACCGGTCTGTAATTCCCCATGTCCCTTCTACTACCATTGAGTTGACAGTGTGGGTACTGCAGACATACACCACTTTTATGCAAAAGTAAATGAATCCTGAAATGAATATTTGAGAACATAAGTGCAAACAACTCAGAATGGTAGCTCGCCAGTCAATGGAGCTTAAAAACCTTTACTTATTTGCTTGCCTCTTTACATTCTGCCTCTCTTCCAAGGAACTAAATGCAGTAAATATGGTACTTAAACACCCTTCTCCCTTTCCTGGTGCCATATTAGAACCCAAGGTCATTCCATGAAGCTGACTGGTGGAAGGTTCAGAACAGATAAAAGGAAGTATTTCTTCACACAGCACAGAGCTAAACTCTGGAATTCATTTCCTTGAGATGGAGTGATGGCCACCAATTTGAATGGCTATAATAGGAGACTGGCGATATTCACAAAGAAGAAATCTGTCAACAGCTACTAGTCTCAGTGGCTAGTAGTCTCAATGGCTATGTGAAACCTTCAGTACGAGAGGTAGTATGTCTGTGCACACCAGTGGCTGGGGAGCTTGGGCAAAGGGAACTGCTGCACTTATCTCCTACTTTGGGATCCTGTAGGCAGCTGGTTGGCCACTGTAGGAACAAAATCCTGGTCTAGATGGACACTTGCTCTGATCCAGCCTGGGTTTCATGTTCTAGTCCTATGCGGCAAATTGAACCGAGGAGGAGGGCTTCTCTACGTGAGGCATTTATGGTGGACTCATCATTCTTCCCTCATGGAGGGTTGTGAGTCTTTTCCATTACACTGTCCTACAAGGCCCCTCTCATGTTTTCCAGCCATTTACATGGCTTATTTTGGAGCAAGGAATGGCAGGTATTATTCCCTCTCAGGCTTCTTAGCTAAAAAATGGTAGGGCATTTTTTGCAATTCTGCAATATTGTCACCTTAGGGTTGTTTAATAAAACATATAAGAAGGTAGAGCAATTAAACCTCTGGGGGGGTGGGGGAAGGATGTGAAAAGGAAGTGCTGTTCCTCCTGCCATGAAAATATAAGTTACTGGCCCAAGGTTACCCAGTAAGCTTCATGGCTAAGTGGGGATTCAAACCTGGCACTGTCCTGTACAAATGCTCTAACCACTACACATATACTACCTGGGAAATATGACCAAGAAGTAAGGATTCTTGTTTTCCCAAAGCTCACCAAGCTACATGAGGGCTATTTTAGTGCTTGTGTAAGGCTCAAGGATGTGGCTGTATGTTCCCATGTGCCAGTACCGAGTTGGAGGGTCCCCTCAAACCTGGAGCAGACTCAGTGATTACCATGCAGCTAAACAAAAATGAAGTCAGGTAAGTACCATACTTACAATGCTTCTGGACCAATCTATATTTTTAGATATACGCAAAATCCAAAACTCAAAGTTGGATAAGACCTGGGAAGCTATTCCAGACCTCCCAGAACAATGGTTCAAACTTGCAGAAAGCAGAATGAAATCTTTTTCTTTTTTTCTTTTTGTCCCTCAAAGAACAGAGCATTTCAAGAGGCAAAAGCAAGTAACATTTTGGTTCTAGGAAAAGCAGTCTACAACTGAACTTTGTTTGAATTTTCAGTTCGGTCTGAATGCTAACAAAAGACTAGCTGGAATGTATCAAAGGGAGGGAATTACGGACATATCACACTGCACTGAAAGTCCTTTGCATAACAAACGACTGCACAGTAGCATTCATGGCGCTTGTTGAATACCAATGAGAAATACTGAGTATTCTCCTCTCAAAAGAACACCCCTCATTTGGATATAATAATGCAAAGCAGAGGCCAGACGGCAGGAATCACAGATTCTGTAAGGACTGGTTCCCTGTGTAAACACAGTGTGCATGTGAGAAGAGGGATGTTTTGGTAGGCCAGGACATGTGAGAAGGATCTTTTCCCCAGCACACACTTTAAAAAAAAATCTTTTTGGCTGACCAGGTCTTCACAACCTCTGCTCTGCATTTCACATAGGTAAAAGAGCTGAAATGCACCCAGAGTAAATGAAATAAAGACAAGGGAGGATTTAAAGCAAGACACTGATAACCAGACTGAGACTGGTTGTAAATTCGTTACAAGTCCTCGGGCTTCAGCTAGGACAGACCAGAAATGCACACCTTTCCATCTTATAAACTGCAGATCCATTTCAACTTCCTTTCCCCAGCTATTAAGAGGAATTTAGCATTCATTAAAAGTGATGGTTTGACAGATAATGTAGATTCAATACCACCCACAAAAGAGGCATAGTGTAGAGATGCAAATGCTTCCAACATCTGGCCTCGACACCCACTTAGGAGGGGGTTCAGACAGAGTTGGCTGGAACATACATGGCCAGACACTTCACTCATGCATACATGTATATCATGTTATGTGCCAGAACCTGGCATGTATTTTACAGTGCAGCATGCCAGAAAAAGGTTGCAGCCAACCTTCTAATGATTTCTACTTCTATGAATTCTGTAAATTGTAGGACATAAAAACACCTAATCTTCCAATCAAATATATTATCACTGTACCCAGTGATTGTCTGTTGCAAGCAGAATTTAGTTTGTAAATTTAATTTTTTATAATCTGCTCTTTAGCAGCATCCTACAAGTAGAGTATAATCAAACCATAAACACTGCATATAGAAACACACACAGTTTATCTAATCATCCAGTATGGTAGTATTAGTAAAATACAGGGTGAGTTCACATAGAGTACAAAAGCATGTTTCAGCACAGGGGTGAGAAATGTCCATAGGCCAAATGCAGCTTGCCAGGCTTCCTTATTCACTCTACCAGCCTTTCCCAAACTCCTCTGTTCAATCCCACCTCGTTACCTCTTTATGTCCCCCACCTATCACTGGAATAGCTAGGATAAGAAGACTATAGGAAGATGATATTTCAATCTCCATTCCTCGCATTCTCCCTTCAACACACAGACATACTATACTGCTCAGTTGATCCACATGGAATCAGTGATGAGTAACAGAAATAAAACTCTAGAGGGGGCAGGTGAGCTGGTAATGTGGGAAAGACATCACTCTTTTCCTTCACTATCAGGTCACTGCATTTTCACACTGAGCACACAGAGAGAGAATATATGGGAATACATTATCTTTCTGCCTCACCAAGTCAGTTCATCCCCTCTGTAGCCCCAAGAAAAGAAGCAGAGACTGGGTTCAGACAACAGGATAACCAATCATGGGTTGCTGCTGAAATGTGGGTTATCCTGTTGTCTGAACCCAGCTGTATTAACAAATGGCTAGTTAACCATGAACAACCCACAGTTCACAATTCAAAAATAAACTACTGTTTCTCTTTGTAAGTTGTTTGTGGTGAAACAGCCACAGGTAGGGTTTCAGACAGCACAGTAATTCATGACTGAATGACAACCCACACTCAAACATTACATAGGTGTGAGTTATGGTGTTGTCTGAACCCTGCCAGGGAACAGTAAGGGGCAGAGAAGAGAAGAGAAGAGAAGAGAAGAGAAGAGAAGAGAAGAGAAG